GGCAGAGGGTGCGGACTCCCCTCTCACCGCAGCCCACCGACACACATCCGAAGTGGGCTTCCCAAGCCCACTCGGAGCGGCCACCTCGGGCCGGCCCTACACCTCGGGCCAGCCAAGGGGTTCCTCTTTGTTCACCGTGGTTGACCAAGCCACGGCTACTAAGCCCCCCCGCCACGACAAGGCGGGAACCCGTTCGGGGGGGAACCTAACCTAACCTAACCTAACCTAACCTAACCTTTTTTTTTTTTTTTTTACATGGGGAAATGCCTACGCATACCCGCCTCGCGGGGGCAAGGACGGGTTATGTCGGACTCGCACCGACTAAAACCCCATGGTGTTCCAACCTCGTCGCATATTGGCAGGGCCACGGGAACGCTTTCGCACACTTCCGCGGCCCCACCTGCGCTGGCCGCCCCATGGCGGCCCCTCCTCGGGAGAGGACCACTCCTCCCCCATCTCCCTCTCAGGTAAGGCGCACCAGAACACATGGCGCGCCCTCCTCCTCGGCCTCCAATTTCACACGCGCAACGGACGCCCCCGTGTCCGATGCGCGAAGGCCATGGGGCCAGGAAAAACTAGCACTAAGAAGCACCAGCCTTCCCGACCCCAGCGGCGGATCTGGTCTATGGCTCCGCCGCCAACCAAGATTCGGCTGCGGAGGGTAGGGAGAGCGGCGCCTCGCAATACCGACACTCCTCTCCCCCCGCAGCCCCACCACCACCGCATCATTCAACGGTGCGGCCCCGTCTGAGTCGCGGAGGATAGGGCGAGTGGCGCATCGCCATACCAACACTCCTCTTCCTCCGCGACTCCACCTCGGCTGCAGCGGTAGAGGGTTGCGGACTCCCCTCTCACCACAGCCCCCCGACACACATCCGAAGTGGGCTTCCCAAGCCCAATCGGAGTGGCCACCTCGGGCCGGCCCTACACCTCGGGCCAGCCAAGGGGTTCCTCTTCGTTCACCGTGGTTGACCAAGCCACGGCTACTAAGCCCCCCCGCCACGACAAGGCGGGAACCCGTTCGGGGGGGAACCTAACCTAACCTAACCTAACCTAACCTTTTTTTTTTTTTTTTTTTTTTACATGGGGAAATGCCTACGCATACCCGCCTCGCGGGGGCAAGAACGGGTTATGTCGGACTCGCACCGACTAAAACCCCATGGTGTTCCACCCTCGTCGCATATTGGCAGGGCCACGGGAACGCTTTCGCACACTTCCGCGGCCCCACCTGCGCTGGCCGCCCCATGGCGGCCCCTCCTCGGGAGAGGAACACTCCTCCCCCATCTCCTTCTCAGGTAAGGCGCACCAGAACACATGGTGCGCCCTCCTCCTCGGCCTCCAATTTCTAATGCGCAACGGACGCCCCCGTGTCCGATGCGCGAAGGCCATGGGGCCAGGAAAAACTAGCACTCAGAAGCACCAGCCTTCCCAGCCCCAGCGGCGGATCTGGTCTCGGGCTCCGCCGCCAACCAAGTTTCGGCCGCGGAGGGTAGGGAGAGCGGCGCCTCGCAATACCGACACTCCTCTCCCCCCGCGGCCCCACCACCACCGCATCAACGGTGCGGCCCCGTTTGAGTCGCGGAGGATAGGGCGAGTGGCGCATCGCCATACCAACACTCCTCCTCCTCCGCGACTCCACCTCGACTGCAGCGGTAGAGGGTGCGGACTCCCCTCTCACCGCAGCCCCCCGACACACATCCGAAGTGGGCTTCCCAAGCCCACTCGGAGCGGCCACCTCGGGCCGGCCCTACACCACGGGCCAGCCAAGGGGTTCCTCTTCGTTCACCGTGGGTGACCAAGCCACGGCTACTAAGCCCCCCCGCCACGACAAGGCGGGAACCCGTTCGGGGGGGAACCTAACCTAACCTAACCTAACCTAACCTTTTTTTTTTTTTTTTTTACATGGGGAAATGCCTACGCATACCCGCCTCGCGGGGGCAAGGACGGGTTATGTCGGACTCGCACCGACTAAAACCCCATGGTGTTCCACACTCGTCGCATATTGGCAGGGCCACGGGAACGCTTTCGCACACTTCCGCGGCCCCACCTGCGCTGGCCGCCCCATGGCGGCCCCTCCTCGGGAGAGGAACACTCCTCCCCCACCTCCGTCTCAGGTAAGGCGCACCAAAACACATGGTGCGCCCTCCTCCTCGGCCTCCGATTTCCAATGCGCAACGGACGCCCCCGTGTCCGATGCGCGAAGACCATGGGGCCAGGAAAAACTAGCACTCAGAAGCACCGGCCTTCCTGGCCCCAGCGGCGGATCTGGTCTCGGGCTCCGCCGCCAACCAAGTTTCGGCCGCGGAGGGTAGGGAGAGCGGCGCCTCGCAATACCGACACTCCTCTCCCCCCGCGGCCCCACCACCACCGCATCAACGGTGCGGCCCCGTTTGAGTCGCGGAGGATAGGGCGAGTGGCGCATCGCCATACCAACACTCCTCTTCCTCCGCGACTCCACCTCGGCTGCAGCGGTAGAGGGTGCGGACTCCCCTCTCACCGCAGCCCCCCGACACACATCCGAAGTGGGCTTCCCAAGCCCACTCGGAGTGGCCACCTCGGGCCGGCCCTACACCACGGGCCAGCCAAGGGGTTCCTCTTTGTTCACCGTGGGTGACCAAGCCACGGCTACTAAGCCCCCCCGCCACGACAAGGCGGGAACCCGTTCGGGGGGG